GAGAGGCAGGGGGCTCGGGAGAGTGACACTGAGGCAGGGTAGCTAGAGTGGGTTAGGCCTAGATACGTTTCTCACGGACAGTTTTTAGTAAGAAAGCATCCAAGACATCTTGTTGGCGGGCCAACCCACCCTGCAGGCTGGAATGCGAATTCAGTGTGGACCCCCTTGGTTCGCCCAAGGAGAACTCCACGAAGGTAGTTCCTGACCATGAGTCAAAAGCCATAGGGATGATAATAAGCCCACCTTTCAGCTCATGAACTCGTATATTCACAAGTCTGTCAAAAAATGCAGGCAGGGCTCAGTGGCTCGACCTGTCATCCCAGCACTTTGGGAGGCCGAGGCGAGTGGATTGCCTGAGCCTGCGGGTTCAAGACCAGCCCAGGCAGCTCGGTGAGACCTCGTCTCTACAATAAATAAAAAATTAGCCAAGCGTGGTGGCGCACACCTGTGGTTCTGGCTACTTGGAAGGCTGAGGCGGAAGGATCACTGGACCCCAGCAGGTCGACGCTGGAGTGGCCGTGAGCGTGCATGCACTGCACTCCAGCCTGGGAGAAGGAGTGAAACTCCAACTCAAAAACAAACAAAAACAAACAAAAAAAATGCATGTTCTGGAAAAGCCCACCCCGTCACCTATCAGAGGCGGAGAGACGGCACTCTCTCCAGAACAGTAGTTAACTGTGCTCCACCCTCATTTGTATATCAGTAACTGGGTAGCTATATCCGCCTTTCTGTAAAAATAAAAAACCCAAGGTCTTGTCTTAGACACCGTGCAGAGGCACGTTCTTCTGTATTTCTCTCCTCTTCTTTCTCCAATAAACTGTGTTTTAAAACTTGGCGGGCCACTCTGAAAGTCATTTCAGGGTCGAGTCAGAGCCCGCAAGCCTTGGGCTGTACTTCACCACATCAACACCAAGCGTCCAGACCCTCACACCAAGTCCCACCCCCAGGTGTTGCATCTTAGACACTGCTAGCCTCCAGCAAGGACACCTGGGCCATGTCCCTGCCGGGCGCTGAGGCAGCTCCAGGCCAGGCAGCGAGAGACAGCAGCCAAGAGACCCAGCTGCCTGAGGCCTGGGAGGACAGGAAGGCAGGGCAAGGGAGGGCAAAGGCAGACTGAGCCTTCCATCCCCAGAAAACCTCCACTCCTGGGCGAGGGGGTCCTGTAAATCTACAGCACACAGATGCATCCCAGAACAAGAGACCTCCTCCCACAGGACTTAGGGGACACTGTGGGGGTACCAGGTGTGGCCTGTGCCCACTGTCCACCATCCCCTTGCTGGCCATGGGTCCACTGTCCTTGCCCACCTGGGCAGACCCTGGCTTAATCTGCACACTGCCCACCCCCATGCCCCTGTCCCCGAGCTGTCAGGAGCTGGGCTCCAGGTTCCTACCTGAAGATGTTGTCACATGTCCAGGGGGTGAGGCAGCCGCTCCCTAGACCAAAGAGAGCCTGAGTCAGTGTGTCCATCGGACCACCCCCTCTCCTGTGTCCAGGTCCTGAGAACCAGATGCTAAGCCCAAGGTGACACAGGCTGGGGGACCCCGGTCACCTGCAGGGGAGTCCAGCCTGGGGCCCTCGTTCCTGTCCTGAGATCTTTCACCCCATGGGCCCTAGGTCTCCCGGCCACCCAGACGGCCAGTGGCCCCGTGACAACCTGTGAGAGCTGTGTGGGACATCTGGGGACTGGTGTTCTAGGGTTGTTGGCTGTTCTGCTGGAGCAGGGCCTCTGTCAGCAAGTCTGGGCTCTGACTCAAAGCTGAGCAACTGTGGCATGGTGCGTGGCCCTGGCCGCAAGGATTTATGCTCTGGCCCTCTGGGAGGTGGGCCAGTGCTCTGGGCCACTCATGAGCAGGCTTGGGGGTCCCCCTGGAGAGCCCCACATGGGAAGCCCAGGGGAGGTGAGCAAGTCCTCCCCCACAGCTGCAGGGGACCCCCTCCAGGGACTCTGAAGTGGCCTAATGAGATGTGGTAGAGCCTGGGTCAGGGTTTGCAGGCTGGGGAAGGGTGACAATGGTCCCCTTCTCCAGCCCAAGGAAGTGGAGGCCTCTAGAGCAGGTGACCAGAGAACCCAGGAGCCCCTCCCTTCTGAAGGACCACCTGGCCGTGGGGCCCTGCGTGAGGGGAGGCGGGTGAAGGTGGTGGCTGTCCAGGCACTGGTCCAGGCCACACTCGAAGGAGGATGGTCACAGGCTGGGCCAGGACCCTCAAACCACATCACCTTTGATTCTAGAGTCCCATGCCAGCTTGGGGGCTCGGCAGGGTGCATGGCCTGTCACCAAGCAGGGGCCGACTGCTGGCAGCTCGGCAGGCCCTGAAGATGCACCTGCTCAGGGTGGAATAACTCTGTGGGTGCACCTGCCCAGGGAGGGCCAGCCCAGTGGGTGCACCTGCTCAGGGGGAATAACTGTGGGCACACCTGCTCGGGAGGCCAACCCCGAAGGTACAGTGTCAAACCTAGACTGGATGCACCTAGGTGAGGACTCCCTGATTCCCATACCCGGGCAGGACCCCAGGGGCACCCCAGGGAGGCTGTGTCTGGTCACAGGGAGGCCGGGCAATGGAAGCAGTGTCTGTCCCATCTGGTTATCCCCAGCCCTGAGGAGAAGCTCCTGCCTGGGGGGGGGGGCGGGGAGTCGAGGCTGGAGACCCCGTGTCAGGCGGTGGGCAGAACCGTCAGATGCCAGGATCAAGAGGCCCACCCAGGAGCATGTTGGGCGGAGCAAATGGAGACGAATGCTCCCTGCATCCTGCAGGTAAAGGCTGTCCTGGACGCCCCACCCGGCCCCGTGTGTCCAGAGGCCCCTGTGGCTCGACCCTACATCTGGCCCACCATGGGATCTCACAGGAAACAGAGGCACACCAGCTGTGGGGGCCAGGCTCTCCTCCTCCCGATCACCCTATCACATGAGATGTTCCAGCCCCCAAGGGGCCACAGCAGTCATTCCCACGAAGGCCCCTCCTTCTGAGTGGCCTAGGCCCCACCCGCCAGCCCAGGTCCTGGGCCTCACCTGGAAGGCCTTGACCACCCGGCTCCAACCTTGCCCTCCCACCCTGCCTGGGCAGGCC